CCGAGGCCTGGCCAAGAGCAACAAGCATTCTGCCGATGTGTTATGCACAGTGCCGAGTACGCAGTACTCGCTACTGGGGGCTCCCAGAACTCAACCCTGGGATGCCCCACCACCGGCCTGGGTATTGTCGTGTGGCCGTGGCCACACCGCACACCATTTCTTGCACTAGAGGCCTCTAGCAAGCAAGTCCTTGACCCGCAGAGAGTGAGTGCAGTGAGGTTCCCTTCAGAATTGTGCATCAAATAGAGGAAACCAGGGTGAGCCCAAGGTGCGACTCTGTGCAATCTTTCGGGCACGCTCGACGGGGTGCAATATGGTGCTGACCATTGGGCGCAATCTCTTCGGTGCAATCTATCGAAGGCGCCTGCGGCATGTCACCGCTGCCCCCTAACTGTTGGGAATGCTTGTGCCGTGGAACGTCGAGCGAAAAGTACGCTTACGCTTAGGGACTGTGTGTTCCCGCAGTTGTTGGGGAAACCACTTAGAACGCTGGGGAGGGAATCGTTTTGGGGCTATATTGTTGGTCGTGTCTGGGCTTTTAGGCCTCCTTGAGGGCCTCCTGGGCCCCTGTTGGGCCATAATTGGGCTCGCCGTCTGAGGGCGCTCTTGGGTCGTCTGGCATCTTCGGATGCGGTTTGGGGGACATCTCTGGGCTGTCTGGCGGACCTATTGGGCCGTCTTGGGGCCCTCTTAGGGGCCGTTGTTGCGCTCTTGGGGTGATCTTTGGGGCCGTTCGGCGAGAACTCAAGCGTCATTGGCGGCCATATGGAAACTCAAAAGTTTTACCTCTCAAGCCCCTCCTGGGAAATCCATTGGAGCCTTCTTCTGGTGTCGTGGAGGCATGCCTGAAGCTATGTGTTTAACGATATTGGGCAAAACGGGCCCTTCATCTGCAAGAAAGCAATGGGCAGGAGAAGTATAAGGTTGTCTTCTCTCGCCACATCGGCTCATAGTAGCTCAACTTCGTCTTATGCGTGACATTTCTGGTAGCATGGACTTACTAGAGAAGCCCTCTTGGGCCGTCGTCTTGAGACTGTCTTGGATCGTCATGGGCCAATTGTGAGCCCCCGTTGAGGCACATCGAGCTCACTTGAAGGCAGATTGGCCCATCTTGGACCGAGTTGATGCCGACCAGGGCTGGCTTGGAGGCCCCCTATGGAGCCAGTCAAAGGGCGGCGCGGCCGTCGAGAGTCTTGTTTTCCGCGCCCGGGCGGGTTGGGCCGAATGCCATTGGTACTCCGGATTCCATAACAAAGTGGGGGGGGGTCACATTCGGGGGGGGGTCTAATTTGAGCTGTCTTGGAGGGTTCGGGGGGGTCTGGGCAAAGGGCCGCCCTTCGATGGATAGTCTGGGGGGTCTAAAACTTCTCGTCTGGGAGGGTTGTGACCCCATCCCTCTTATTACGAATTCTGGAGTAGCTCTTCGGGGGGGCCAGACAGGCTCCAATGTTGCCCGCCACCACCCCTTCCGCAGGCCACGGGAGCGGCGGATCGAAAGAAGCGCCTGCGGCGAGCCACCGCCGCCCACAGCCTTCTGGAAGCGCTTGTGCCGTGTCGTCGTCGTTGTCGTCGCCGTCGTCGTCGTCGTCGCCGTCGTCGTCGTCGTCGTCGTTGTCGTTGTTGTCGTTGTCGTCGTCGTTGTCGTCGCCGTCGTCGCCGTCGTCGCCGTCGTCGTCGTCGTCGTCGCCGTCGGCGTCGTCGACGTCGTTCGTCGTCGGCGTCGTCGTCGTCGGTTCGGGGTCGTCGTGATATCCGACCTCGAACCGAACCTCAGGGTTGGTTTGAGAGGTCGCCGCGGCGATCGTGGCGGCCGCAAATTGGGGCAAGGCTTTCGTCCAGGAGTAGCACAGAATGTAGCCCCCCCACTCGCCCCCCCCCCGCCCTGCGATGTAGCTCAGACTTTTACCGTAGAGCAGCAAAGAGTTGCCAACAGATGTCCAACATGGGCAGTGCTGTCTTTTTTTGGTTAGGGGTCGGTTATTACGCAACCAGGAATCTCGGGCGAAAGTGCATGCAGCATTGCGGCAGGTTCTGGCATGAGCAGCCCAGTGTTCTGCAAGCTGTTGTACCTAACTCCGTTGCTGTATGCGGAGGTGGCAAGCCTCGAGCTCATAGCCAACACGACTACAGCGTCTGCCCCAACTGATGCCCCGACGCTGAGTACAGTCGGGGCCTTGAAGAAGGAACCCTTTTCGTTGGGGAGGGGCTCCGCGTTCCTTAAGTGTTTCACAGCTTGCCTCGGGTTATCCTTATGTTATCGACAGGAAATCGAAGGTGAACTTATGGAAAAAAGGGGCCTCGTTCCTTATTTAGGGTTTCTTAGGTCAACGCCCCGACTGTAAGGGCCCACGAGCCCACAAACAAAGCAATAGCGAGACGGATGACGAAGCTCGGCAGCTGCACGAGGATTGAGGCCACTGGAGGCACGCTCCATCCTGCCGCGCCTGCAGCCCCCGCTTGCGCCAGCTTCCCCTTCCCCATCCCCTATCGCACACCCGCATCCTCGTCGCTCCCCTTCCCGTCCCCCCTCCCCCTCCTCGTTGCCCTGCCCTCCGGCCCCCCCCCTCCGTGTGTTCGGTTTGCCGTTCTGGTCAAAGTCTGAGACCACTGACGGGCGAGCAATCGCTCTGCCCAAGGGGTGGCGCACTCGCAGCCGCCTTCGCCTCTCCCTCCGACGACGAGGGCGACGGCGACAACGACGACGACGCCGACGACACCGACGACGACGACGACGAGGGCGTTGACGACGACGACGACGACGACGACGATGACGACGACGCCAACGCCGACGACGACGACGACGGCGGCGACGACAACGACGACGACGAGGGCTCCGTACTGTCACTTCTCCTCGATGCCAGCCCCAGTCTCCATGCGCCCCTCCCGGCCCCCTTCCCTGGCGAACGAACACTACACACATATACATGGATCATTTCTAAGTGTTCGAAAGTTCTTTGATTTTTTGTGGGGCCAAGATCATGTTCTTTCTAACTGTTCCATCCCGGGCCTCTTCCTGGCCACCAGGGTGCCAGGAACAATTAGAAACGAGCACAAATAGAAATGAGCAGGATTAGAAATGAACGACGTGTACCCATAGTATGGGTGCGCGTTGCCGGATGGGGGTTCCTGCTCGAACGGGAGTTCCCCCCAGGGTCCGACAACCCGCTCCCATACCCATAGCCAGTCTTCCTCCCTCCGACCACTGTGTGGGTATGGGTGTGTTGGTCGTTCGTCGCTCCCCTCCTCGTGAAAGGAACATCCGTATCCGCGGCCTCGTGGGCTGGTCCCCCAGGCCGCGACCCCGTGGATACGGAGCGTTGTTTCACGGATGTCCCGCGCGGGACATATCCGTGCGACCGCGTATCCGCGGGGTCGCGCCGCGGAATCCAGACCGCGAGGGCACGGATACAGATATGGTTGCCGCTCGTGACATCCCCCATCCACCTTCTCGTGCCTCTTCCCTCCCCCGTGCACCCCCCTCACCGTCCCTTCCCTCTCCCCCTCCAGCGACGAGTCCCCGCGGTCTCTGTTCAACGCGGGTCCTCGTCGCCTCACTGACGCAGGCGGCGGAGGTGGAGGAAAAATCCCTTCCCTCGCGAACGAGGAGGATGAGGATGAAAAAGGAAAAGGAGGAGGAGCTGGAGGGGGACGAGGAGGAGGAGGAGGAGGAGGAGGAGGAGGAGGAGGAGGAGGAGGAGAGCAGGGAGAAGGAGGAGGGAGCAGGAGGAGAGGAAGGGAGGAGGAGGAGGAAGAGGAGGAGGAGGAGGAGGAGGAGGAGAGGAGGAGTAGGAGGAGGAGGAGAGGAGGAGGAGGAGCGGAGGAGAGAGGAGGAGGAGGAGGAGGAGGAGGAGGATGAGGAAGAGGAGGAGGGAGGAGGAGGAGGAGAGAGGAGGAGGAGGAGGAGGAGTGAGGAGGAGGAGTGAGGAGGAGGAGGGGAGGAGGAGGGGGAGGAGGGGAGGAGGAGGAGAAGAGGAGGAGGAGGAGGAGGAGGAGAGAGGAGAGGAGGAGGAGGAGGAGGAAGGAGGAGGGGAGGAGGGGGAGGAGGAGAGGAGGGAGGAGGATGAGGACGAGGAACGAGGAGGTGGGAGGAGGAGGGGAGGAGGAGAGGAGGAGGAGGAGAAGAGGTGAGGAGGAGGAGAGGAAGAGGGGAGGAGGAGGAGGAGGAGAGAAGGATGAAAAGGGAGGAGGAGGAGGAAGAGAGGAGGAGAGATGAGAGAGGAGAGAGGGAGGGGGAGAGGAAGGGAGGAGGAGGAGGAGGAGAGGAGGAGGAGGAAGAGGAGGAGGAGGAGGAGGAGGAGGAGGAGGAGGAGGAGGAGATGAGAGAGAAGGAGAGAGGGGAGGAGGAGGAGGAAGGAGAAAGAAGGAGAGGAGGAGGAGGAGGAGAGGAGGAGGGAGGAGGAGGAGGAGGAGGGAGGAGGAGGGAGGAGAGAGAGGGGAGGAGGAGGGAGGAGGAGGAGGAGGAGAGAAGGAGGGAGGAGGAGGAGGAGGAGGAGTAGAGGAGGAGGAGGAGGAGGAGAAGAAAGAGCAGGCGCGGCGGCGGCGGATCGCTATCGTGTCGAAGCTCGGGTGCAGATTCGAATTCGCTGCATCGCAGACATAGCGTGCGATCTAAAGCGGATCATGTAGCCCCCCCATTGAAGGGTGGGAGCCCCGAATTGCCGTCGCTTGACCAGCAAGGCCGAGGCTATCAGGACAAAAAAGCAAAGTCCCCCCAGGAACCCAGTCAGTGACTAACTCAAACTTACTGAGCCACCAGATCGCTGAAGCTGAGACGGGGAGGAGGAGGAGGAGGAGGAGGAGGAGGAGGAGGAGGAGGAGGAGGAGAAAGGAGGAGGAGAAGGAGGCGGAGGAGGAGGAGGAGGAGGCGGAGGAGGAGGAGGACGAGGACTCACCCGAGGACTCACACGAGAAAGAGGAGGAGGAAGAGAGCTCGCGGGAGCGGCGGGGCGGCCAGCCTCGGCATCACGGAGAGAAAGGAGAGGAGGAGGAGGAGGAGGAGG